TCCCCTACCCCCCTCTTCTCTCCTTCCCCCTTCTCTCTCTCTCTTTCTTTCTTTTGTTCTCTTCTTCCTCTATCTTTTTGAGACAGGATCTCCTTGTAGCCCCAGCTCTCCTGGAACTTGCTATAGAGAGCAGGCTGACCTTGATCTCACAAAGATTCAACTGCCTCTGCCTCCTGAGTGGTGGGATTTAAGGCTTGCATACCCAGCTCGCTCTTTCCTTCCTTCCTTCCTTCCTTCCTTCCTTCCTTCCTTCCTTCCTTCCTTCCTTTCCTCCCCCTTCCCCCTTCCCCCTCCCTCTCCCTTTCTCTCTCTCTCTCTCTCTCTCTCTCTCTCTCTCTCTCTCTCTCTCTTCTTTTGACAGTCTTAAATTTGCTACATAGCCAAGACTGGCCTTGAACTCCAGGTCCTCTGGCTTCTACCTTGAGACCTGGACTGGCCACCATGGCCACAATGCATCCTGTTTTCTACTACCACACAAATTTTCAAGTTAGGTGTCGCTGTTGCTTTTCCAGGTAAGAGGACCTGGTTATGTAGCTCAGAAGAAACAGCCAGGATTCAACCCAGATAAGATAAGCATTTTGCTTTGTTTTGTTTAATCTAAGAACACTGAGCTAGAAGCAGTTTTTGGCATCAAGGTGGAGACCCAGTTTTCTGGAGTGGAATCCAGCAGGCCTACTTGAGTATCCCTTTGCTCTTATTCTGGTCCTCAGTGGTGGGCTGTGACTTAGCAACCCCAGCAGGCGTCCACGAGCTCACAGAAGCACATCAGGATATAAGCTGTAAAGTTCCTCCAGGCTCTGGGAAGTAGAACTAGGCTTTAGCTCCCAAGAATTGGGAGGGTGATTAGGAAGTCATCCTGGCTCTAGAGTTCATGCCACTGTGTGTCTCACTGCTTCTCAAACATCTTCTGAGGACAGGTATATTGCCTAAAGGTGTCCACAGGAGTGGAAAGTTGTTCTGAGCAGCAGGAAGAACTATCTCAGTTGTGCAGGTGGGTAAGAGGTCTAACAGGGTCTATGCTTCAAGAAGACTTTCCATGCACTAGGCTCTCAGTGCATCACACATGTTCATTCCCTGTACCAACCCGAGAAGGCTGACCCTGTGATCCACTCCCTCTTGACATCCATAGTGACCTGTTCAGATAGTTTTGAAAAGTAATGGGCACACAAGGAACATGCAAATCAAAACTGCTTTCAGATTCTATCTCACCCCAGTCAAGGGCATCCAAAGAGTAAATGCGATAGTTAATTAAGTAGAGAGTCCTGAAAGGAAGAAATACAAATGGCTAATAAATAGTTGAGGGAATATTCAATATCTCTTGCCTTCAGGAAAATGCAAATTAAAATTGCTTAAAGAGTCTATCTCACCTGTTGGAATGGTGTTGATGTGGATGTGGGAGGGGCTTAATCACTGCTGGTGGGAATGTGCACTGGTGCAGACACTATGGAAATTGGTATGGAGTTTCCTCAAAAACTGAAACTAGAACTCTCACATGATTCAGCCACACCACTCCTGGGCACATAGCCAAGGAACTCTAAGTCAGCACAGCACGGAGACACCTGCACACCCATGTTTATCGGGCAGCATTCACCATAGCCAAGGTATGGAGCCAGCCTAGATGTTCATCAACAGATGATTGGATAAAGAAAACGTGCTACATATACACAATGGAGTGTTTGGGTTTTAAAAAATATTTTATTTATTATTTTGTTTTATGTGTATGGTGTATTGCCTGCATGAATGTAAGTGCACCTGTGTCGTGCAATGCCACGGAGGTCAGAAGAGGGTGTCGGATCCCCTGGAACTGGAGTTATGGATAGTTATTAGCCACCATGTGGGTGCTGGTTAATCGAACCTGGCTCCTCTGCAAGAGCAGCCAGTGCTCTAAACCACTGAGCCATCTCTCTAGCCCTGGAGTGTTTGTTTTTAAAAACAAAATTTTATTACGTTTATTTGTGTACACACACACACACACACACACACACACACACACACACTTGCACACAAGCCACAGTGCACATGTGGAGGTCAGAGGACAACTTTTGGGAGTTGGTTCTTTTCTTCCACCGTGTGGGTCCTAGAAATCAAACTGGGGTCACCAGGCTTGATGGCAAGAGCCTTTACCCAGTGAGCCATCTTACCAGCTTCACAATGGAGTTTTAATCATCCTTGAAGAAGCAAATTTTCTTCAAGTAAAGTGGATAGAACTGGAGATCATCATGTTAAGCAAAGTAAACCAGTCAGAAAGACAAATAGCTCATGCTTTCTTGCATACGCTGTCTATATGTGAATATATGTATACACATTCATGTGTGTTACTGAACACTTAAAAGGGGGAGTATTGGGAGGAGGAAGGGCACAGTGTTGTAGAAACAAGAGAAGGTAATCAGGGAAAGGTAAATATCATGTTTCCTTTCCTATATGGGCCATATATGACTTGATGATTTGGGAAGAGGAAGGAGAACAGAAGGAGGTGGGAGGGAGGATAAGAGAGGGTAATGGAGAGGGTGAATATCAGC